GCAGGTAGGGACCTTGGCGGACATGCTGCCGGAGCAGGTCCGCAACCTGCGGCGTCAATGGGGACTGAAGCCGGTGTACAAAACGGTGGATACTTGCGCCGCAGAATTCGAGGCTGTCACTCCCTACTTTTACAGCACCTATGACCAGGAAAACGAAGCTCTTCCACTGCCGGGCAAGAAGGCGGTGGTCATCGGCAGCGGGCCCATAAGAATCGGCCAAGGGATAGAGTTCGACTATTGCAGCGTCCACGCAGCCCGCGCACTGTCCGAGTCGGGCGTCCGCAGTATCATGATCAACTCCAACCCCGAGACGGTTTCCACCGATTTCGACTCCAGCGACCGGCTTTACTTTGAGCCTCTGGACGAAGAGGCGGTGCGCGACATTGTGGAGAACGAGATGGTGGACGACCAGGCTCCGCCGTCGCTGGTGCAATTTCGGCGGCCAGACCGCCATCAACCTTTCCCAATCTCTGGCGATGGCGGGGCTGCCCATCCTGGGGTCCAGCGCCGTCGCTATCGACACCGCGTCGGACCGGCACAAATTCGAAGAGTTTCTGTCCCGATTAGGCATTCCACAACCGCCAGGCGCCGCCGTCACCTCTGTGAGCGAGGCGCTTCAGGTGGCCCAGAACATTGGTTACCCCGCTGTGGTGCGGCCCAGCTACGTGCTTGGCGGACGGGCTATGGAAATTGTCCAGAATGCGTCGGAGCTCATACGCTATTTGACCGCCGCCGCCGCGCTGGCCCCCGATCAACCGGTGCTCATCGACCGTTACATGGAAGGAAAGGAGTGCGAGGTCGACGCTATATGCGACGGCGAGCAGGTCTTGATTCCCGGCGTCATGGAGCACATCGAGCGGGCCGGCGTCCATAGCGGTGATTCGATGGCGATCTATCCGGGGCTGAACCTGACGTCAGAAGAGGTCGACACCATCGTCGACTATACCACCAGGATAGGGCTGGCGTTGGAAGTGCGCGGGTTGATGAACATCCAGTTCGTAATTCTGGGAGGGCCTCCGTACCGCAGCCCCAACCTCCCAACGGGCGCCGCAGACGCTACGTCGGTCTATGTTCTTGAGGTAAACCCCCAGGGCCAGCCGTACCATTCCATTCATTTCCAAGGTTACCGGAGTTCCCGCAGCCGCCATCGCCACGCGGGTTATGCTGGGGCAAACCTTGGCCGATCAAGGCTATAAAGGGGGGCTTTGGCCTCGCCAGAACCTGGTAGGAATAAAAGCTCCGGTCTTTTCCATGGGCAAGTTGGTGGGAGTTGACTGGCATTTGGGGCCGGAGATGCTTTCTACCGGAGAGGTGATGGGCATTGACCTGGACTTCCCCAACGCTTTGTCGAAAGCGCTCTTGGCTGCCAACATGAATCTGCGCCGGAAAACGGGTGTCCTGCTCAGCATCGCCGACCAGGACAAGGCCGAAGCGGTGGTGCTGGTTCGGGCATTGGGAGAATCGGGATGCCCGCTCTATGCCACCGAAGGCACCGCCGCTATGATTGCCGCCATGGGCATTCCCGTGACGATGGCCACCAAGAAAATCGGTGAAGGTCACCCGAACGTGGTGGATGTGGTCAACGACGGCAGCGTGGGAGCGGTGATAAACACTTTGTCGGGAGACACGTCAGTCCTGCAGGACGGGTTCTTCATACGCCGGGCCGCAGTCGAACGGCAAATTCCCTGCTTTACTTCCTTGGACACGGCACGGGCGGCGGTGGAGAGCCTGCTGGGCGAACGCGGCAACTACAACGTCAGGCGCACCGAAGAGTACCGAACGGGTGGTTTTTAGACGATTGCGAAGATTCCTCTAAACGGCGACCCAGGGGAACCCGTCCCTTACCAGTCCATCTCCATTCCCAAGCCCATGGCCTTGGCCTTTTCGTACGCCAGTTTGGCTGCGGCAACATCCGCAATCCCTGTGCCCATAAGCTTTGCGTAGACAATCTGGTCGTGATTGTCCCTGCCGGAGACCAATCCTGCCACCGCGTGGCGCAACTCAACAAGGTTGCTCCATTGCAATAGGCCCCGGTCAACGGCGCTGGCCATGTCTCCCGCCTCTTCTCGCGCCTGCTCGGCGGAGTCCACGAAAATCTTGTCAGCCCGGCTGATGGTCGCGTCGTCCACCTCGCACACCCTCCACGTGGTGGGACCGGCGCCGATCAATGTCGACCCGGCGGCCAGCCATTCTCCCTCGACTACCGGCTCGGTGGCGGCAGCTATGCACACGACGACATCGCTGTCCCGCACGGCGTCGGCGTTGCTGGAAACCGCCTCAACCTCTACGCCTAACGTGTCGCTCATAGACCGGGCGAAGGCCTCTCTCCGGTCCTGCGTACGGCTATAGGCTTTTATCCGCTTGATATTTCTTACCTTGGTCACCGCCTCCAACTGGGTGGGCGCTTGGTACCCGGTGCCGATTATCCCCAAGGTGCCGCTGTCGGAGTTGGAGAGGTGTTTCACCGCTACGCCGGTAGTGGCGCCGGTGCGCAACTGACCCAGACGGTTGGCTTGGGTATAACAGAGCAACTGGCCCGTGTCGGCGTCGTAAAGGCTTACCTGAAAAGAGTAAGTGCCTCTGACAACTGTGTAGGTCTTGACGCCCATCACACCTTCGTGAAACATTCCGCCGCCCATCACAGACAACATACCGCCGCTGGCGATTATCTTGCGCCGGGCCAGGTTCATAGCCTCCCCTTGCCCGAAATGGTTTTGCATCGATTCAATGGCTTCCAGCATGTCGTCCATCTGGACAGCCCGTGAGACGTCTTCATCCCGCAAGAACAACGCCATGGTTTCCTCCTAAGATTGGGAGAGAGTAGCTGTGATTACAGTCGCTGAAGCAGGCCCTAGTACCGTTTCCACTTGAATATGCCTTATACCGGATATTTGTTTCACCTGTTAGTCATTCCCGCGCAAGCAGGAATCCAGAGTTAGAGGCAGCTTTCCAGTATCAGCAAATCTAGCTGGAAACGGTACTAGTTTATCGTTGCCTGCCGTGGTTGACAAATAGCGTTAACCGCGCTCCAAAGATCAGGCGAACGTCGACACCGGGGACGTTGAAGGCGGGCTAACGATTTGATGGCGGTTGAAAGCGGTTGACGACCGCCCAAGCGGTAGGAAAGGGCCAGCGATGCGATGTACAGCTTTACCAAGTCGCCGAGGATGAAGGGATAAAGCCCGAACTCCAACGCTTTGCCCTCGGGTACGAAGTAGGACAACTGGATAAGCCCGGGCACGTACAGGATGATGTTTCCAGCCAGCATGGCGAGGATAATCCATACGCTGCGGTCCCAACCTCGTTCGCTCAGGAATCCGACGACGAATGCAGCCGGTATGAAGCCGATGATGTAGCCGCCGGAGGCCAATGTCCATACTAGACCCGATGCGCCGCCGGCATAGAACGGCAGGAAGCTCCCCTCGACCAAGTACAGAAGCAGGGCGGCTCCGCCGCGCCAACTGCCCAGCGCCGCCCCGGTAAGCAACACTGCCAGTGTCTGTCCGGTGATTGGCACCGGGGTGAACGGCAGGTGAATCACCAACTGGGCCATCAGGGCTACAAACAGGCTGGCCCCGACGATCAGGGCGATGTCTCTGGCTGCCCTGAGGACGCGGTCGTCAACCGGGATTACACTGTCGATTAAAACGGCAGTATTAGTTTTAGACAACAATATCTGCTTTCCTGAAGGTGTAGAAACGTGAGGCGGCGGGTGGAAAACGGCCCGCCCTATTTGAAGAAGTCTCGGTTCTTGCGGATGTACTCCCGCCACTTGGCCGGGACCGCGAACTCGTCAAATATGGCCTGCACCGGGCACACAGACTCGCAATACGAGCAATCGATGCAGATTTCAGGGTCAATGTGGTACATATCGGCATCGTCAGTTGTGGCAATGCAGTCGACAGGGCACACGTCCAAGCAGGACGCATCTTTCACGCCAACACATGGCTCGGTGATAACGTAAGGCATAATACCAGCACCACTAGGAGTGTAATGGCTTCGGTTACGCCAAATGGCTGCCAGAATTCGGCGGGCCCGCCAACAATACTCAACCTATTCTTGAGTCGCCACTGTATTTTGTCAAGCAATAATATATAATACATTCTATTAAACGCCGTAAGTCTGCTTGGGGGAGCATGATGTATGGAGTTGAGAGAGCTTGTTAGCTTTTACCACGTGGCGCGCCTTCGCAGCGTGTCCAAAGCTGCGCGTACGCTGGAATTGGGTCAACCCACCGTCACTACCCACCTGAGGAAGTTGGAGAGTGAGTTTGGCATCACGCTTTTCGACCGGATAAAAAGACCGATCCATCTGACCTCGGAAGGGATCACACTGCTGGAACTGGTAACGCCGGTCGTCAACGCGGTGGACACTCTGAAGACACAGATGGACTACTCGGAACGATTGGGGTCCTTCGTCGTGGGAGCCTACCAGGACCTGGTGATGCACCACCTGCCCAAGGGCATCCAGAAATTCCGTTCGGAATATCCTGATGTACGGATGAGGCTACTGGCAAGGGCTTACGCTCCGTTGATTCAATTGGTAAAGTCCGGCGAGTTGGACTTGGCCTTTTGTTCGCCCCCGCCGGCAGAGGAGCCTTCCTTGGAATTCCAGCACCTCTTCGAGTACAACGTGGTGCTGTTGACGCCCCCGGGCCACCCTCTTCTGGAGAAGCAGCCCATCGCGTTGGAAGACATTGTGGAATGGCCCATGATCCTCGCGGGCCCGGGAAGCCTCACAAGGCAACGGGTTGAACAGTCGTTGCGTAGTAAAGGCCTCACTTATGACGTAGTCTTGGCGATGGACGACACAGAGTCCATAAAGCGTTACGTGGAAATCGGCATGGGACTGGCAATCACCAGCGACTTTACCCTCCACGCCGAAGACCATGACAAGCTTGGCGTGGTCCTCTTGGATCACATTTTCGACAGCTCCGTCATAGGCGTGTGTACGCTAAAGGGCAAATTCCTGGGCAGGGCGGTGCGGAACTTTATCGATACCGTGTCCGACCAGATGCGAGGGTTTCACGCCGAGTTGCTGGATTGGGGCAACTCCACGGCGGAGCAGGGCCAGTCAGTCTCTTAACCGCGTCCAACTTTCCACACGACGCCGGTTTGCGCGGAGCCGTCCCTTTTCGCGTCGCCGCTCGTGACCGGTTAAAGGGTCTTGGAAGTCCTGAGGATGACCTCTTTGACTCGCCGCTCCAAGTGAGAACGGGCAAGCATTACGTGGCGTTGGCACTTCTGGCAAGTCAACCCGATATCCGCCCCCAAACGGGTGACCAGCCAGAGGTAGTTGCCGCAGGGGTGGGGCTTCTTCATCCTCACCACGTCCCCTACCTTCAGGTCTAAAGCCATCCCTTGCCCGCATCCGTCAAAATCCGGTTGATTTGGTCCCGCAGCCTGGCCGCCGCTTGCCGGGCAGCCGCGGCGAAGTCCTGGCTCCCGCCTGGTTCCGGCCGGGCATATATGATCCCCCGCGACGAGTTAATCAAGGCGCGTCTGCCGTTACGGTCCATTCCAGCCAGCACCGCATCTGCCAAGTCTCCCCCTTGCGCACCTACCCCTGGGATAAGCAAAGGCATGTGTGGGCACAGGCTCCGCACGTCCGCAAGTTGGTCTGGGTTGGTAGCGCCCATTACCAGCCCGATGTTGCCATTACGGTTCCAACCGTCCGCGGAACGCGCCAAGTGCTGGTACAAGGGAATCGGCCCATCGAGCGTGTTCACGGTCAGGTCCTGAAGATCTGCGGAACCCGGATTGGACCCCCGGCACCAGATGAACACTCCGCGCGCGGGGTCTTCCAGAAACGGCTCCAAGCCGTCGTACCCTCCCCAAGCGTTTACCGTAACAGCGTCAAAGCCCCATACTTGGAACATCGCCTTGGCGTAGGCTGGAGCGGTAGATCCGATGTCCCCCCGCTTGGCATCGCCAAGTATGACTGTGTTGGGCGCGGCCTTGCGGATGTGGTCAATGGTCCCCTCAAGGGCCCGCAGCCCGTCCATGCCCAAGGCCTCGTAGAAGGCTATGTTCGGTTTATAGGCGCAAACCAGGTCAGCGGTTGCGTCTATGATAGCCCGGTTAAAGTCGAGCGGGTCTTTCACAGGCATGAGTTCAGGGTCAACGTCCAACCCAACGCAAAGCAATGAACGGTTGGACGAACACGAGCGGTCGAGACGGCGCACAAAGTCTTGAATATTGTTGGCGTTGGTCACAGTTCCCGCGTTGTTAATCAATTGGCCCTACCAGGACAGGGCCGGGCTAAATCCTGGTTCATGCCTGGACGCGATTGTTACCATGTTAACCGCTCCGCCATCCGTAGGCCAGTCCTCCGGGACAGCGTTGCAATTTAAGTGGTTTAATTCCCAGACCCAATGTTCATTCCGAGGTCCAACCGTCATTCCCGTGCCCAATCGTCATTCCCGCGAAGGCGGGAATCCACCGTACCGTCACCTCTGGACAGACCACCTGAAACGGAACGCTACCGTCCTCAGGCAGCAAGGCGGGCGTTGAGTTTGTTGATGCAGCTTGGCACCGATCTCGTGGAAGGAAAGGCCGCTAGTCGTCCCCGGTTGAAACACGCTTCGCCCGCGTGGTGGACGTGAACGACGTCTGAGAGGCTGAGTCCACAGTGGCTAACTCCGGCCGATAGCGGAAATCGTCGTTCCCGGTTTTCGCGTGCTATTGAAACCCCGGACCGGGGAACACCGGAAGACCCGGTTCGACTTGGCGTTGGTGGACTTGGGTTTTACCCTGTCGTCCGCCGATGCCCGGCTGCCCAATGGTTTGGTGGCCGAGGCCCTTGAGTTGGGAGGCTTAGGCCAGTTCGCCGAATACTCCAAGGTCAATCGTGAAGTGCCGTTCGGCGAAAGCCGCTTGGACTTGATGTTGGATGGGTCGAACGGGCGGTGTTACATTGAAACCAAGTCGGTTACCCTGGTGGTCGATGGAGTAGGCTTGTTCCCCGATGCCCCTACCGAGCGCGGCGCCAAACATATGAGAAGTTTGGACCAAGCCGTTGCGGAAGGACACCGCGCCGCTGTGGTGTTCGTGGTGCAACGGTCGGACGCGGTGGCCTTCGCTCCCCACGAAACAGCCGATCCCAACTTTTGCTCGGCCTTGCGCCATTCCCTGTCATGCGGAGTCGAGGTCTTCGCCTACAATTGCCGCGTTTCGGAACAGTCCATCGAACTGGATTCCCCATTGCCGGTACGCTTGTGAAACCCCCAACCGACATCGACCTGTCTGAACTGCTGCCGGAAGTTTACGACCTTTTATACCGCCGCTACGGCCCCCAAGGCTGGTGGCCCGGAGATGGCCCTCTGGACGTGGTAATCGGCGCTATCCTCACCCAGGCGGCGGCTTGGACCAACGTGGAGATGGCAATCGCCAACATGAAGGACGCCGGCTGTTGGTCTCTCCGGGTGATTGACCGCCTGCCGGAGCAGGAACTGGCCGCCATCATCCGGCCTTCCGGCTATTTCAATGCCAAAGCCCGCAAGCTCAAGGCCTTTGCCCGGCACGTAGAGGTAAACCACCGGGGCAGGCTGGAGGGGCTGCTGTCTCAGCCTGTGGAGGAGTGAGATTGCGCTCTCTCAATCACGGTATCGCCCGTAGGTGAACACAGCGGACGATATCGTAGTCTATGCAGCGGGCAAACCGTCCTTCGTCATCGACGCCTATACCCGCCGGATCGTGCAGCGGTTGGGTGTCGTGCCGGAAGGTTTTGGCAATTCCTACTCGGCTTATGTACACAGCGCTGCTTCAAGGACCAACTGCCCGCCGAGCGGGGGGACTGTTTTCAACGAGACAATTGCCCTCCGGACCGGAACGCACAAGGAGGCTCTGGCTCAACAGGTCCCCCGCTGCCGGCGGATAGTCTGCCTGCGGCCAGAGTCTGTCGTCACGGGGCAACCCATGGAAGAACTGGTAGTAGCGTTCGCCATTTTCAAGTTGTATTTCTTACTGGGAAAAACAGAAAAGGAAGGGAAGAGAGAACTAGGAAGAGGTAAAGCAAAGAAGACATGCGTAGCTGCGGGTGGTGGTGATGTCCCTGGTACGATTGGTTGAGGTGTGAGGATACGTCACGCCCGCAAAAGGAACGTCACCCCCGCGAAGGCGGGGGCGGGAATCCACCGGCTGTTGGTCTGTGCAGTACGGGACCACCAATAAAACGGAAAACCGCGCTACTTGGAAAAGAACAGAAGAGAACACGTGAGTGACAGGTTTTATCGTCAGGTTTAGCGCCCGAGGGGGATTCTTATGACACTTTCCCCTTTCCAACCCGGACGCCGTTGCCGTACCATGATATTGAACTTACATCGCGCCATCACTGGGCGGAAAACCAGATCCAACCCAGCTTCTGAGGGCGATGCACATTTATGACACCAACTCAATCCTATTATGTGGTCCAAAAATGGACCAAAATAAGCGCAAATATCGAAAAATACACACTTGCCGCCAAAGCTGAATGACTCAAAATGACACAGAAATCTGACAATCAAGCCCCATCTCCCTCTGTGCGCTCTGCGGTGAGCAATGCTCTGAAGTAAGCCAAAACAGGAGGAAACACAATGCAAGTTGTCCGAATATACACCGGGTCTGATGGCGAGGCGCACCTCGAAGATTTGGAACTGCCTTACGAGAAAATCGAAGAAGCGGAACGTACTGCGATTGCAATCGACAACAGGAATTCAGTTCCGCCGCACCCCTCCCGGTAGTTTCAGCGACTGGCACAATGCCCCGCGACGCCAGTACGTGATTATTACGCTGGAAAAGGCTCCAGATGGAAAGACGGCCTCGGAGGACAGTGGCCCCCACACAGAGCGGCTTAATCTGTCAACCCGCTTGTTGATGACGTGCGCGTGCTGGCCGATGACCGCACTGGCAAGGGTCACAACAAAGACCCGTCTATGGTGATCAGACCGTGGTACACCATTTATATATAACGCTTGACGATCAGAGTGTTAGGGGGGAAATTAGGAAAAAGAAAAGAAAGAAAGAAGGGGACAAAGTTAGGGGGAAGAAACGGGAGGTGTTAGAAAAAGTGAATAACTCTACAAGGAGTTCCTGTGGACGGATCCAATATCCAGAACATAGGGGGGGGGGGCCCAAACTCTAAATCTGGGGTCATCGCAGGATAAAAGCAAAGGCCGCTAGAGGAAGATAGACCAAACCTGTACGCATATCCAGGAGGAAACTCAACAAAGAGTTAAACGACCTTATACCTACTGGAACTAATCAACAACCCAAAATACCGGGACACCTAATCTCTGGGGGTAGGCAGACGGCCGCGAGCTCATGTGGAGGGAAATTAGAAAGATTCTGGACAAGAGACTCGTACGTTGATCCGGGGGGCGGAGCGGTAACACAAAGATCTCTCACAAAATAAAAAGTACTCGCAAATAAACGGCAGACTAACTCTCCGGGAACGTAACTATCCCTTAGTCTAAGGGTCACAAAGGTCAAAATAATACCCGAAGTAAAACAATAATTTTTGTTGTCTCCGAAACAACCTCAGGCACGAAATCCTTGCGCCGGACAGTAGCAAAGGACAATCGGATTGACACGAGAACCGGAGCATACTCTCTGGCTTTCTGCACACTTGGCAAAATAGTATCCTACTCAACTCAATTAGATCGCGCTATCATTATTGAACACTTGACATGGGATGAGCCAGTTCACTATAACCGTTCTGGAAAATTTCAATCATCAAGAATTGGTATGATTGCTGCCACGGCAATTGCCCAATTCGAACCTTAAATTAAACGACTAAACCCTTCGCGGGGGAAGCTGGTATGATTCTTAAAAAAAATGATCCCGAGGGGGAGGCGCATATAACAAGCTTGATACAAGGCGGCACACGGGGGTAAAAAAAGTTCTGGTTTCGAGACCGCACAGTATTCCCATGCCCAATCCTATAGGGCAGCAATTCAGAAACGTCAAATCGCAGCCGATGGGAGGATCAGTAATCGAAAAAAGCCTAAGGAGGAATAATCGCACTAACGTCTCCGCTGCCGATATAGAGAGAGGGTGGAAGACGCCCCTGTTGCAGTCAAAGAACTAAAACTTATACCGGCCACACTCACGCAGCAATTAAAGCAACAACATTACTCAAAAGCCCTATTACATGGGGCCTTGGAGGGGGGTTACTAAAACGTATTAGAATAAAACAACCAAGACTTATAAGACCACGACTATGGAGTGCGGGAAAAGACAGTCTCAATCGCGACAACCCCAAGAGGGAAACCCTACCCTGAGGTTAAAAAAGGGAACCATCGGGAGAATAGGCGAGACCCTGCGATTATGGAAAGGGGTAACGGGGAAGGCCATGTTCTCTTCTCAGCGAGAGACTAAGGCGAAAAAGGTGAAAAGGTAAACGCGCTCACATCGCACACTGTTGTTAATAGAAGCGAAACAAAGAATCAAAAAGGGTGAAAACCGGGTAAAACAGTGGGGGTTTAAATGGTGTATCAAAAAAAACAGGTCCAATTGTGTTTAAAAATTAAAATTAACGAGGACGGAGACGAAGGAAAGAAGGAACCCTGATAGCTTTCTCTAAAACAATGACTTGGACTGTCCGCCGTCCACGTTGATGCAAGCGCCCGTAACCAGGTCGGCCCGGTCCGACGACAGGAAGGCCACCATCTCGCCTATGGGTTCGGGCCAGCCGAAGCGCCCTGCGGGAAGGTTCCGGGCGATGAATTCATCGACCACCTCGGGAGGGTTGTTCTGCTGGAATCGCTCCCAAGTGCTGCCCGGGAAGTCTATCGACCCTGGCGCGATTGAATTGACCCGCACGTTGATGGGCGCCAATTGCAGCGCGAGGTGCTTGGACAGGGCTATCAACCCCGCTTTCCCCGCCATGTAGTCGATGGACCCGCCGTGCTCGCGCCCGTAGATAGAAGAAATATTGATAATACGGCCCCACCCTTGCTCCCTCATGTGGGGAAGCACAAGGGCGATCATCCGGTACGCGCTGACCAGGTTCACTTCCAGGCCTTCGCGGAACTGCTCCAAGCTGGTCTCTTCGAAAACCACCGAACCGCGTCGGCCCCCAACGTTGTTCACCAGGATGTCCGGCTGCCCCAAGTGATCAACGGTATCCCGGTGAAACTGAGTTGCGTCGGCCTCGACGGTCACGTCCCCCTGGGTGCCGTGGACCTGGTAACCGGCAGCCGCCATTTCGCTGACCGTCGTGTCCAGTTGGTCCTGGCTTCTGGCGCATATCGAGACCTTGCAACCCTCTCGCGCCAAGGAGTAAGCTGCTTGCCTCCCCAAACCTCGGCTACGGCCGGTTATCATCGCAACCTTGCCGTCTATCCCTAAGTCCATGACTTTCTCCTGTTACGTATTGATAAGTGCCTGATATGTTACAAATCGACCCGGTTACCCCACCCAACACAACCGACCGTGGCTGTCGTCATACACAAGAAAGGCCACGCCGATTATAGCCTCTTGCCCCGGGCCACGCACCCGGAACATCATTCATGCTCAAGCACCCAAAGATTATAATTTGCCGGGGTTTCGGGTCCGTGGCACAAGTTATCCGGCTTCCCGCCATTCTACAATTGGCCCAACCCCGCTTGGAGAGAGACTGGCGATGTATTCTACGGCGTCGCCGTTGTCTATAGATGGTGAATAGTCCATTGCGTAACACGCTGGCTGACCGCGTGGCCGAATACCTGACCCGGTATTCGGGTTGGTTCATCCTTGGTGTTGTTACCATGACCGTCCTGCTCATCTTCCCTATATTCTTCATGGCGCCCACGGAGCCCGCGTCCCAGGACCCCGGCGGGCCAGTGTTCGACCTAGCGGGCATCGTACACGACAAATTCCCTCCTCAGCTTCACATAACCGGTTTCATTGCCGAAGACAATAGCGGAGACATATTGCGGCAGGCGCCGCTGTGGGATTTGTATCGGAGTGAGCAGAGACTGCGCAACTCGGACTTGGGAGAGTTTCTTTACTCGGGATACGACGCTCGAAACCGGAGGCCGGTTTTGGGCATTTACACTATCGCGGACGCGGTACAGGACTTCTTGGTATTGGACTTGGGGCCGCAGGCCAGCCTTGAGAACGCCACCGACCTGCAAGTAAAGGCGGTGGTGGCCCGCGTAATTGACAGCCCCTTGGGCTTGACGTTACGTGAGTCGCTTTCCCAGGACGCCGCATTCGAAACAATGACAATCGATGGGGTACGGATACAGTCCTGGAAGGCGTCGGCTCTCTCTATTTTTGTAGCCTCGGATAACTCCATGCTCGGGGGCGGGCCGTTGAGTTTCAACGTGACCGGCGAAAAGGATGCGCTGCGCAAGGAACGGTTCAACCGTCGGATGTACGCCATATTGCGCGGGGAGGAAGCCAATTACCGGCTTTGGGGCGTTGCCATCGATATCAACCTTGTTTCGGAGGAGCAAGGCAAAACGGCGATACCCTTCATCGCGGCAACGGTTGTGCTGGTGTTGATAGTGGTCGGGATTACCTTGCGGTCGGTGCGAGTGGCTGGGCTGGCATTTGTCGGCCTTGTCATTCTCTTGGTTTGGCTCAAAGGACTGTCCAACCTGGTAGGACTCAAGTCGTCCCTGGTCCTGGACCTGGTCGTCCCGATTGCGATGGTCTCGCTGGGAGTTGACTTCCTCATTCACGCCGTTGCCCGCTACCGGGAAGAACGCCAACGGTTGGCCGTACCGCGGTTGGCGTTCCATGCTGGTCTGGGAGGGGTTCTTGGCGCCTTGACGCTGGCCATGCTTTCCGATGGGATCGCTTTCCTGGCGAACGTGACCTCCGGTATTGAAACTATCATCGGGTTTGGAGTGGCCGCCGGGATTGCGGTAGGTTCCAGCTACCTGATTATGGGTATATTTCTGCCGTTGATCATTATGAGGCTCGATCAGCGGGACATTCGTGATGGAGTGACGCGTGCAATCGGCCCTCAATACCATCCTGCAACCGTGCCTGCTCACTCGGCCCCTAGCGGGTCGGCATCTCCAAGGTCCGCGGTTGCCTCAGCGGTATTGACTATGGCCCGGATGCGCTTGGTGACTCTGCCGCTGATTGCGTTGGTCACTGCCGGGTCTACGTTCTTGGCGTTTCAGTTGGAGCCGATGCTGGATGTGAAAGACTTTTTAGACTCCGATTCCGACTTTGTCAGAGGGATAGATAAACTGCACGAGCACAGGGCGCCGTCGGTTGCCGGTGAACCTGCCATCATCTATATTCGTGGAGACTTGACCACTACGGAGTCTTTATCCGCGATTCGAGAGTTGTTCGAACGGCTCGATGACGTGGAGCAATTGGGCCGACGCAAGGATGGGCAAGTCTCCCTCTACTCGACGACCTTGTTCGAACTATTCTCCTGGACTATGCGGAGTGAATACGCCCTTTCCCAAGTCCAAGCTCAAACCGGCATTGCGCTTACCGATAGGGACGGCGACCAGGTCCCGGACAGTGCCGAACAGATACGGGCGGCATACGACTATATAGTGCAGTTTGGAATACCGGACGACACCGAAAGGTTGGCCTTCGAGCCGACCCAAGTGCGGGAGGTCCTTTATCACGAGCCGGGTAGCGTCGCATCCCAGGAGATTGTCATCACCGTCGGTGTGTTGGCGGCCCGGGAGCAGGCCAATATTGCCTCTGCCCGACGGGCCTTGGAGGAGGCGTTGGAACCTCTCAAGGACACCCCATCCATAGAGTTCGTTGGCGTCACAGGCTCTCCCTTTACCAGGGAAGCGTCATTGACCGCCGCAACCCGGGCCTTGAACATCTCCCTTCCCGTGGCGATGGCGGGCTGTTTTATCCTGTTGACCTTCTGGTCGCGGTCCATCCTGTACGCACTGGTTACCGTAGTCCCTGTCGCCGTGGTGGTGTCGTGGCTCTATGCCTTTATGTACGTGGCCGGGTTCCACCTTAACTTTGTCACCGCAACCATCGCAGCAGTGTCGATCGGGGTGGGTATCGACTACTCCATCCACGTAACCCAACGGTTCCGCCAGGAATTGACCCGGCAGCCGTCTACTGAAGAGGCCCTGTGGGCCACTGCTGCAGGGACCGGCGTGGCTCTCATCGGGTCCGCCGCTTCCAGCGTCATCGGATTCGCCGTAATGGGCTTTGCCCCAATGCCGCTCTTTTCAGCCTATGGGATCATTACAGCGGCGATGATACTTCTGGCGGCCGTCGCCGCTCTCCTTGTCCTGCCGTCCCTGCTGCTCCTGGTGGCCGGTAAACCGGGTAGGGAGGCCGGCGTCTGATTCTCATGGGGACGAAGCTTGGGCCTCGGTTGATGTGCTTGCTCCCTCTTGGGATGCTCAATAATCTCCTTCTCCTTGGGGAGGAAGAGGAAGCTGACAGGGGTATGTATGGGGTTTTCAGGACGGGGCATGGCGGGTGACCTCCAGGTTAGGCTTGGGTTCCGGCCAGGGCTCAGGCAGCAGCCAGACCCGGCTCCAGAGGCGGCCCCGGAGCAGCAACCGCCGCAGCCAGTCAATGCCGTGGCGGATGATGCTGACGGTCCGTACCGGCCTGCCCCAGGGGTCGCGGCGCCTGGGAGCCGACGTCTTGGGCGGCGTGCGCAGGTTGCCTGGAGCAATCCTGCGGTCATGGGCGTCTTCCACCCTGGTGCCATAGGCCAGGGCCAGCAGTGTTGCCACCGACAGCACCAGCCAGTGGCGGGAGACGCGCGCCGGGTCGGTGCGCCGGGTCTTGTCCCACTTCCAGCCCAGGCTTTTGACGGCCTTGAAGCCCAGTTCGATCCAGAAGCGCAGGGCGTACCAACTGGGTCCGGCGTCCTCCGGCGGCAGGTCGGTGAGGATGATCCAAGGTTCTTCCTGCTCGACGTACCAGACCGCCAGCAGGGTGCAACGGCGTTTTGCGGTGGGGGTGCTGAAGGCGGTGCCGCGGCCAATCCAAGCTGTATCGGGACGGGAAACGAAGTGCTGTGCGGGCAACCGGCGGCCATCTTGGGCGCAGAAGCTGACGTTCTTCCGATACCTCATGTAGGGATGCCAGCCTTGGGCGCGTATCTGTCGCCACAGCTTGGGACTGGCGATGCCCCGGTCGCAGAGCACGATCACGGTCATTTCCTTGGGAACCGCCGGGGCCAGTTTCCTGAGCAGTTCCACCGTGGGATCCATCCAGGAGCCGCGCTGGGTGGCCCGGTGGATGCGCCAGGCCACGGGAATAGCGCAACCCCGGTAGACCACGCTGATGACGATGGCGGTGGTTTGGTCGCCTTTGAGCGTGGGATCAACGGCCAGGGCCAGCCGGCCGGAACGCCACCAGGAAAGGACCCACCGGAGCAATGGGGCGAAGCAGAGACTTACGTCCAGTTCGGTCTGGCAGGGACGGGCCCGGTCGCTGCCGTCGTAGAGCCACTCCCGGAGATACTGGCGGAAGTTGTTCCAAGCGCCCCAGGGCGAGAGGGCGGAGGCCACGGCGTTCTGGCAGGCGCTGCCGGCGAGAATGGCCCCGCAGACCCACAGTACCAGGCCGGTCAACTGTGGTCGGGAGAGGTGAGGTAGATGCGTTTCAATGATCTGCTGCATCCGGTAGCATTCCCTTGGAAGGCGCATGGGACACCTCCGGCACCTGGTTTTGTGACTGCTACCAAGATGCCGGAATCCCGTGCGTTTTCCAAGTTTTCAGACCATTTCAGCCGTTACATACCCCTGTCAGGGAAGAGGAAGGGGATGATGGGGAAATGCCCCATGCTATAATATGGTGGCTTCTTGGCCAAGGATTGGGCGGAGATTCGAGCTTTGGTCGGGCGGAAAATTCCAGTGAAATTACGGAGAGTCTTGCACCATGATCAAGCGGTTCTCGGTGTTGTACGTGGGTCAGATAGACTTGGATAACACTGGTCTGGATGGGACTCCGGCCGACCAGCGCAGGTATCCCAAATGACCGGCTGGTCCAAGCTTACGAAAACGCCGAAGGGTTGGCCAAGCACATGGACGAGCTTGGCTACT